CCACCGCAGGCATACACCAAAAGCCCCAGGTGTGCTACAAACCCCGCGGGGGGACAACATCCCGTGCTCTGTGCCCACCACCAAGAGGAGAGCAAGCGGCGCTGATGGTACAGCAAAGCCCTCGCCTCTCCCCTGGGAAACTGCCGATCAGCCCGGGGTCAGTGTCTGCTTGTACAAGGTGCTGCTTCTCCAGGCACCCAAAAAAGTCCTCAAGAGGTGCCACCCCTGCCCTGGCACCACCACTTCAGCCTCATCTATTTTTCTGCAATGCACCATTTTGTGGGTTTATTTTATATCACAGCCTGTACCTCAGGTTAAGCACATTTTGCCCCAAACTAAAAAGCAATGGCAAAGGTGTCCGGAGGAGAAACGTTCCTGGGGACCCCGACACCCCCTTCCTCTGTTACCTTCATTTACAGGGAATGAATCAGGCAGGTGAAAGAGGCTATTAATCCAGCCCAGGGTTTTGTTCAGAGCATGCAAGTGTGTGCCGTCCGGAAGCCAGGCAAGCTTAACTGCCGGCCTGGGGAAGGGCAGCGGGGCGAGGGGACAGCAAAGCGACTGAGCGAAACGCAGCGTGTTTCTGGTGAGCTCCTGCTTTTCTACCTGGGCTAGCTTTAAAAATAATCCTCTCTGTTTGCTATCTGCTGCTTCCCACCCCTGCCCCGTTGCCTGGGCTCTAAGGCAATCTTTTTGCGTGCCTTGCACTAAGGTCCTGGCTTGCTGCTGCAAATTTCCTGCGAGTAAATAATAGGGTTTGGGTGCAGGAAATCAGGATTTGTAACATCTCCTGGGGAAAGCATATCTGTCACTTAAATTTCACTTTGAGTTTTGATATATTAACTGTGCAGAGATGTGTCATTCGCAGATGATTCCTCACGCCTTACAAACGCGTCCGTGCAGGCAGTGCCTTAACGTATAAACCCAAAGTTGCTCTCTCCCAGAGGCACAGGTGAGCCTCTCCGGTGCTGGGATCTTCCCTTCAAATGTCTAACGTAGCCTAAAAGGGTGTGAAAAATCAATGTAGCCATCTCCCTCTTGGTCATATGTCTTAAGACACTCAGGGGAATAAGGGATTTCAGCCACAGCCCGGAATAATGATGCTGTCCCAGCGCATGGGACAGGCAGACCGAGCATCTCACCCACACACGACAGACCCATTGCCATCCCCACATTAATTACCCTAATGACCCCAGGGAGGCAGCGTGCGGCTTCCCACGCTTTCCGCTTTTGAGGACGCAGCCCCCAGCTATGCATCAGGGGCATCCCATAAGGAGCAGACACTCCACACCAGTGCCAGCCGCGCGTGAAGGCACCGCCAGCTCCCCACAACCACTGAACCCACAGATTATCGCAGCCGGGCTGCAGCTCTGGCTGTGTGGCAGAGGGGATGTGCAGGGCAGCACCGCGGGCGGGTAGGGTAACACATTTTTTATAATTTCTTTCTATAGACACCACTGCTGGGTTGTCAGAGAGCACATCCTTGCTCACCGCACCCAGAGCAACAACCCCCCAGCACACCAAACCCAGGCGAACACAGGCAAGAGGGATGTTCTCATCACACCCACTCAGAAATACCGATGAGATTCAAACGATCAACGCAGGCCGGCTACAGGGGGTGAAAACAGGGGTATCACCCAGCAGAGAATATCTGGCTTCCCTCATCAGGGAAAGGCAGAGGAAGATCTTTAGCCATCCAGCAGCAGCAAAGCCTGCAATCCTTGGGAATACAATCGTTATTCTTTGGAAGAGAAAAGACAAACCCTCCCAAACATACACCCTCCGACTGTAGCCGCGTTTAGCCCAGACCCTGCTCCGCACTGAACAAGGGGTCGGCACCTCATACCAACATGCCTTTTCCCTGTTTTTCTGTCTCGTTTCTTCCACTGTGTCTCTGTACACGTATGAGATTTCTTCCTTCTCCAGAATGAAAATTCAAATGTGCAAGAATAAACCAGCTCATCTCATGTATCTCTATTGCCAGGCTCAGCTGGTCTTTGCAGATCTGAGTTCATCTGAACAGCGACAGCACCAAAACATCCTCCACACTTCTGGTCTGACTCGGAATAAAAATCGCGTGGATGCAATTGGCGTTCAGGGTTCTCGGTTCCCTCTGCTCTTCCCTCATGAACCCGCATGTAATGCCTTCAGAAGCTAAACAACTTTTAAAATAAAGGCTTTAATGTAAAAAGAAATGTATAATCTATTTTAAGCACTAGAATTCTTTTACAGGAACTTGAGAGACAAGTCTAGTTACTGTGGCACGCCTCCACCAAAAATCTGGCTTTTCACAGTGATTCAGTCATTTTTAGAAACTTTTCATTTTGGCAAAATGACCTGATAACACTGGAGGAAAAAAAATAACCACTTTATGGAGCATTGGATCCAGCCATAAGCAGCGCACTATTTTAAGCACTAGAATTCTTTTACAGGAACTTGAGAGACAAGTCTAGTTACTGTGGCACGCCTCCACCAAAAATCTGGCTTTTCACAGTGATTCAGTCATTTTTAGAAACTTTTCATTTTGGCAAAATGACCTGATAACACTGGAGGAAAAAAAATAACCACTTTATGGAGCATTGGATCCAGCCATAAGCAGCGCACCAGGTTCATTTGCCTTACTTTTCCTTACACAAAGGTGGAAGAGAGAGACACAGAGCAAGGACAGCAGAGTACTAGTGATCCTGGCACACAATTCCGCCCATGTATCCAGGAGAGCATCACCGAAGCTGCACCGCGCCTCTTCACACACGAACAAACTGCCCACGGTCTGCAAATAGATGGATCTAAGCCCAGAAAAACCCAAACCCAGGAACAAAAAGCTAACTTCTGACATTTCATGCCCCGAGCTACAGATGCCAAGCTCAGCAGATCTCCTTTCACCTCCCGAGAGAAGCGCGTTGAAGTTCAGCTTCAATATACCCCCCAAAACCACAAGAAACCCCCCAAACAGTAGCCGTGCTCGCAGTGCTGGTGCTAGACTGAACGAGGGGGAAAGGAAACAGAGCAGGGGTTGAGTGGGGATGCGCAGTGCTGGGGGATAACGCCCGAAGGTGGCTGCTTAGACCCAGCAACCAGCCGGCACAGCCCTCACCAGCCCCAGCCCTGTCGTGCTCAGCTCTCCCGAAGCTCCGGGCAGGCAGCTGGCACCTGGGAAAGGAAATCCAGGAAGGGTTTTCTGAGGGCAAATGCAACGAAGATTGGAAAGAAGTGGTTTCTCCCTGGCCTCCTCCCAGGTCTAAGCTGGGAGCTGCTGTCAGAGCAGGGACACCAGAGCAGGGAAATCAGAGCCTGACAGCTGTGGCTGAACAAAAGGCAAGAAAGAGGGAAAGAAGAAACCAACACTCTGGTCTCCACCACCTCCATCCCTGCCTTCCACTGCTGCCGTGGCACCTTGCTCACCAGCATGGGCTTAGCTCCATGAACACACGCAGACCAGGCTCAGCATCCAGTGGCGCAATCCTGGGCCACTCGGCTGTTTGCTGGAGGGGACACGCTTTACGGATGACGCTTCATGGAGAGCGAGACTCCCAGGAACCGTGCATCCTCTCACCAGCCCCAGCCCAGCTCTACCTGCGAGCACCACCACAGCTTCAAAGCGCTTTCTCCGGGTTCCTGCTGCCAGCAAACCTCCTGGCTTTTCTTTGGTATTTTAAAGGAAACCGCTGGCACGGTGTCTGCGAGATGAGGCTTCCTCCAAGGGCTCTGGGAGCGGGGCTGGCCGCCCAGGCGCTAATGCCTCTGCCCTCTCCAAGATGTGCTGCTGCCTGCTCCAGAACCACTTCTTCTCCCTCTGCCTCATCTCCAGAGTGCCTGCTCATCGACGGGGGACCCCAAAACCCCCCCAATGCCTCCGACCAGCTGCCTGGCAGCACAACGTCCTGGTGTTTGCGCTATGCTTGCCGGCAGTCCTGACATGCTCCCGACCCCTCACCGTGGAAAAACCTGCTGGGAGGGGGCCCTGGCTTGGCAGAGAACTGGTCGCCCTTTGGGTTTTAATTAATGGCACTGTGCCACAGCACTCCCAGGGTAACGAGCAGCTTGCGAGGGAGAGTAGAAAAGCCCTGGTTGACAGAGTCAAGTTCCTCGGCAGTGCAAGCGGTTTCGATCTCTGGTTTTCACCGCAGTCTCGGTACGAGAATGTTCTTTTGGGTTTTGATTTGTTTGGGTTTTGGGGTTTTTTTAGTCAATAAACAGGGAAACAGATCATTGGGACAAATGGCACAAATCAAATCAAAATTATTCTGGCCGAACTTGCGATGTCATCTCAGTAGCCATAGCATTTTGCACGGAAAGCCGGACTGGAGCCTTGGAAGGAAACCCTGGGAGTCAGAGAGCAAGAGGAAGGGGAGCAAGTCGTTACCGGGTATGCTATGCACTACTTACCTTCGAAAGTCAAATAAAACTTTCCTCTGTCAAACCAAACGAGGGAAGGCTGTTCATTCTCTGTATGGCCAGGAGTTGAAGCGGGATGGGAAAGGTCAAGGAGAGGAAGAGAGAAGGACACAGTGTGAGTCACAGAGCAGGTCATTTATCTTGCTACGGGGAGGGGACGAGGCGCTGCAAGCCGTTCACGTGCAAGGCAAGGGGGGCTTTTAAACTCTGGTTGTGCCGTAGGAAACAGAAAGCAGAAAGCAAAGCTATGGAAGCCCAGATGGAAGAGTGGTTTTGCCTGCTCGGTAAGGAACTTTGTGGGGTTTTCTCTTTTTTTTCCTCTGGAGTAGAAGAGGCTTCTTGGCTCATGCACTCCGTCAGCATAGTCTAACTGCGCTGATTTGGGCAAATACGCCTTATCCTCTTCACCTCCGGCGATATCTCTGCCGTGCTGCAACAGCAGCAGCGAGCGATTCCCCGGTGGGATGCTGCAACTGCACGTGCAAAATCCGTGACCGTGAAACATAGTTATTTTCTGCTGGTTTCCAGGACATACAACGCGCAGATGAACAGACACGCACAGAGAGCAGGAGACGCCTCGCGGGGCTTTTTCCTTGCCCATTACACCACCCTGCGCTCACACTGCCTCAAAAGCCATGTTAAATGCCAGATACTGTTGAAATAACTTGGGATGGGGAAAAAACCAGATTTTGAGCTGTTAAATGAACTCTTTTGAATACAGGAGGTGACAGCCCTTCACCTCAACATCCTTTTTGTCACTGAGAAACTGTCATGCAAGGTACTGCGAGCGGTGGGTGCCAGAGCTTGGGCACTCGGGGTGCCCGCAGCCACCCGCTCCCAAGACAGATGTCTGGGAAGCCCCTGGCTAGTGCAGTACCTGCAGGCATTTCACAGCGCCTTTCGAAGGCCATTTGTCAATAAAAGCATCATCTGATAACATAAGCAAAAGAAACGCAAAGAGGAAAAAAAAAAAAGAATGAAAAAACGAATCCCAGATGAAATCAAGCAGCACAGTGTATCCACGGAAAAAGACGGAGGATTTTAATGAGAAGAATAATGGAAGGGGAGCTGACACAGAGATAAAAGCTTCTTTCTTTGCAATAAATTATTCAGACTGCACACGCAACCTCAAGGAAAACAAACCAGAACAGCACGGAGAACAAAGAAACGAAATAACCCTTCCACAAGCTCTTGGACAAAATCCATCGGACTTTGCTACAGGAAACAAGACGGAGAGCATGGTGGAGATGAACCCAGCAGCAAGCCAAGGGCTGTGGGCAGCCCCGTGCCAGTCCCATGGGACCCTCAGCAGTCCCCAGCCCACGGCCGTGCCCACTGACCTGCCCGTCCCTGCCCACGCAGCCCTGCTCCCGGCGCAAGGCGAGTGCTGCACGGGTGCTCACCCAGTGCCGGTGCACACCCTCATCCAGACGCCTTGGTGGGGACACGGGGCGGGATGCTTGGGCTTTCCTGGAACGGCTCCTGAAGCCGTGTGCCCCTGGCTGTCCCCC